GGGACCGCGTCGATTGCACCCCTAGTTGGTCCGCTCTCTAGGGGGCGTTGGAGTTTAACCCCCGCGCCTGCCTAGCTCGGGTGATTTCAGGACAGTCTCTCACTAGATGCCCTCGGCGATCGCACATATAACATGCCCGGGGAGGGGGGGCGGTTCCGTAGCGGGTCCCCTGTCCGCTCCCTCCCCCCCCATTACGCCGCTGTCCACCCTCTGCCTCTAGTCGGGCTACCCTCCCAGATAACCCTCCCACCGTGGCGCGTAGGTCCCCCATTTCGGATCGGATGGTCTCAACGGAGGATTGCAGTTGGGTCATATTTTATTCGTTTCCTCGCGTACCTGGGTTACCCTCTCACCTACTTGGTTTACCTTGTTGTCTATCTGGGTTACCTGGCCGGAGACATCCTTTATACCCGTTTGTATACCGGCAACCCATCCCGGAGTTGTCTCGCGGGACACTGGAGGCTCTCTTTCCCGGCCCCTTACCGTCCTCGCGAGCTCCTGTTCCTCCTCCTCGTCTTCCGAGAGCAGGCTCGCAATGGCGCGCTCTCGTCCCAGCCCCCGGAGCTGCGCGCGTTCGCTGTGAATTCTTTCACACTTACGTGCGCGCTCGACAAGGGCGTTAAAGGGAAGACGTGGGCAGCTCATGTCTGGCTGCCACCACGCCGTGCGAGACAGGTACCGCTGGATTTTCTCGGCGGCCAGTTCCTCAATAACATCAGTTGCGTACCCCGGGCGTGCGATCTTTGTTAACTCGCGCACATCCTCGGCGTAATCACGTAGATCTTCGCCAGGTTGGCGCCGGCGCGCCTCTAAGGCCGATTTTGCTTCCTCCTCGTCACGCGTGCCAAACCGCTGATCGAGTCGGCGCATCAGCTCCTCTAGCTGTGTCTGTGCGCTCGCGGGTAACGCTTCTACAAAATCGGCTGCCCGCCCATCAAGATTCATATTAAGTTGACGTACTGCCTGCGCGTCCGTCCATCCATTAATTTCCTTGGCCCCTAAGAGATTGCGGGCGAATGCCTTCCACGAAGGGGCCCCCCGGCCGGTAAATATTAGTCTTATTTTAGCGTGAGGTAACGCGGGGGTCCGTACCGCTTCCGACACCAATTTGTGGGGGTCGCTAGCCCCCGAGATCCCTCCCTCGATAATGCTAACGGCCGGGCTAGCATCATCAATCGCCCCCCCGCTGCTAAGCGAACCGCTGCTAAGTTCCTCACCCATGGGGTGGGAGCCGTCGCCCGAGGATTCCACTCCACCGCGGGTCCGCGTAGCAGGCATGGTTAATTACGTACGCGCACACCCACACACACAGCTCTGTACGGCACTCACTCTTGCGCTTCTCTGCGCCGCGCTGGCCGCTCACGTTACAATCGCGCACCTGGGGTACGCCGATTACGCACGCCGCGAGCTTACGCACACACAGTACCACACGCGTTCCCACACGCAACCCGCGCGCTCAGCTCCGCGCAGCGCTCACTCCCGTGGCGAACCACTGTGCACACAGCGCACCCACACGCTCACACTGCACGACAAGATCACGCGAGACCACGCTTCGCTATTAATGATTTATTATATGCCACCTGCGAATTGATGTTGAATCGGTGAGTCGACGAGGCTGGCCTATTCCACTAAACCTGTACCTATTCCCTATTTATCGGCTATGATTCTAATTCCCCTTCTTACTCACTGTTAAGTGTCCACGGCGGTCCGCTGATCCTTCTGTTAACCGCGTGCCTCGGTGCGTCGCACGGACGTCCGGGTCGCTGGCTCGAGCTGCGTCTGGTCGCCTGGCGCTGGAGTAAGAGAGCGATTTCCCCTCTGCGCTCCTCTATTTATCCTCCCTACCTCCCAAAGGGGATGCTGCGCTGAACAATGGGCTCGTGCACCCCAAGCCCGCGCACCGCAGTCCCCAGGCGCTGTTGATATGCTAATCAGTGTGCTGCGTGCAAGGCGTAAATCCTAATTACTCCCTTACCCTTCCTACCAATGGGGCTTGCGCGCTCAAGCGCAATTATCCCAACCCTCCATGACTATGCGCAACAGCCCCTGTGACCCCGCTATTCATGCTGTCCCGTGCCTCCCCTGCTCGCCCCGTCGACCCGTGGGAGTGTGTGTGGGGGGAAATGCGCCTCAACCGCGGTGGCCGAATGCCCCACGCCACGACCTACCATATTAAGGCCGGCCGCAGCGCCGCGGTGCCACGTAGCACGGGGAGGTCATCCAATTCCCTGATCGCCGGAAACCGTGAGAATTAATCCCGATAAGGGTCTCTCGGATAAAAACCGGTCGATCAGGTGACCTTCCCTTCCAGCTCTATGGGGGGGGGGGGGGATGCGTGCGGGTGTGTGCTTATGTGGGGCGGGTGATGGGGGGCAGTGCGGTGGGGGAAGCCGGGCGGCTCCCTGGTTCGGCAGAGCGGCCCCGTCGTTGTGGCACCACAACAGCACAAACTCTACACGCCGTGCTAGACCGGGACCAATATCATCGTGAAGTCGCACACGCCGTTAGGCAGCACTAAACAAGAAGATATCGCTCAACACTATTACTATCATGGGGGTATGATTTGGCCTAGAGGGTTATAATTTGGCCTCGGCCATGATACACCCGGGTACAATGTAGCCTAGGCCGCTTGAACCCCGGGTAGACTACGGCCTGTTGCACCGGCACGGGCTGTGTGAGCTGGGCCGCCTTCACAACCAACGAGACGCCGCCGCTGCCAATTGGGACCAAGACGGCAGCGCTGCCTCCACCGGTCCGGTGAGGTCATTCTCAACAGGAGATTTTTGTTTTTCGATTTGAAGCTTTCGTGACTGCAGGGATTCATATTGTTGGTTCTTTCGGTAGAGTCACGTAGAAGGGAAGTAATAAAATAATAAAAATAAAAGATAATGAAACAAAATATAATAAAATATTTTATTATATTAAATTATTGTTTTATTTTTATTATTTTATTACTTGCCTTATAAGTGACTTATATAATAATATGTTATATTATTATATTATTTTATTATATCATATTATTTTATTATGTTTTATTCTTATTATTTTATTACTTCCCTTCTACGTGCCTTTACCGAAAGAACCAAGAAGAGATTTTTTTTTCGATTTGAAGATTTCGTGACTACAGGGATTCATATTCTTGGTTCTTTCGGTAAAGTCACGTAGAAGGAAAATAATAAAATGATAAAAATAAAACTATACAATTCTCACGACGTTTCGATTGCAACGCAAGCAATCATCATCAGGTGTGAAAACCACAGCAATATTGTTTTTGTTGTTGTGGGTTTTCATAAACTGATGATTGCTTGTGTTGCAATCGAAACGTCGTGTTAATTTGATTCTTACATTTTTATTATTTTATTATTTCCCTTCTACGTGACTTTACCAAAAGAACCAAGAATACAGTAGATTTTTATTAATCATTTTACTTTTCCAGGTAAGGCCCCCACTGAGCTGTGTAGTAGCGACCTGGCTATCACAAATGACAGCAGCGCACCGAAGTGGCTTATCACGTGACATTTACAGCAGCCAAATACTCTGAACACATGTGGAGATGTTAACTACCTCTCCTGGTATACAGGAGATCGTGTGTTTGATTCCGACCCTGACGCCTGCTGTATATTTTGAGTTTGCGCGTCTCTCTCTCTCCCCGTGGTCGTGTGGATTTTCTCCAGGTCCTCCGGTTTTCCCTCGACATTTAGAATCGAGATCACGCAATCAGAGTATTTGGCCGCTATAAATGTCCACACAATGATAAGCCACTTCGTTGAGCTTTCATTTGTGATGGCCAGGTGGTCGCGTCTGATAAAAGAGCTACTACGTATCCAGTTGGACCTTACTTGGTAGAATCCCAAGATAATGTTTGTTAGTTTAAGTATGTATATATATCATTTTAAACAGAATCACAAACTAACGCTCAACTTTCTTAAACGTGCAAGAGTCAACGCGCGCCACCACCGTGCGACATCACGCGAGCAACCGGGACGACGCAGAAAATCTCTCAACCCTTTCCCGCGTCCGAGACGTCTGCAGAGTTGCAGGGTCGGTGGGTGTCACCGTTCACGGGGTGGGTGTCACCGTTCACAGGGTGGGTGTCACAAGGGTGGCACAGTCGGGTTTTTTACAATCGGGTTTAATTGTCTTTTTATATTAAACCCGATCATCTAAGATTGAGAGAAATCCGGTTTCATTGGTTCTAATTGCAGAACCGCACTTCTCAACGATGGGCTTCATCCATTCCAAGCTAAGGAACTCACTGGCGCCCACGATTGTGGAGAAGCTCGTGTTCATTAAGACCAACCTGCCCGCCGCATTCTACGACTACCCCGTGCCCGACGGCCCCGAGTACCATAGCAGCACCGACGAGGAAGCAGCCTAAGCCTATCAGAGTTTCGTATTCATTAAACCAGGTTTTAATTCCCCGAAATCGGGTTTAATTGTGTTAAAGAAAAAACCCGATGCCTGCAGCTGGAAAAATCGGGTTTTTTTCCACCCATGGGGTGTCACCGTTCACGGGGTGAGTGTCACCGTTCACGGGGTGGGGGTCACAGGTCACGGGGTGGCTGTCACCGTTCACCGCAGCAGTGGCAACAGCAGCACTGTTGCTGTTGTTGTTATAAAGACGTCGTTGCTCACCGCAGAGAAGCGTAGCGACACGACCGCCGCCACTCTGCGCTAGCCGGCGCCAAAACTGTGCCACACTCCCTGCCCCGCGTGGCCGTGGGAGCCTCGGTACCGATAAAGTTACTTTAGTTTTTACTGCGTTTTGTTGTTCCGACGACGACGTTCACGCACGGCACGCGGCGTCGTCGCCACAGCAAAGGGTGAAGTTCACGCTGGGAACATTTTCAACGGGGGAGGCAGCAACAACACGCAGGGTGATCCAAGTGCAGATGCCCCACTCATACCTACACCCCCCCTCCCAACGCCCTCTCGGAATATTTTTTCAGACCGCAGGAATCCGATGAGCTATGAAGCTCTTCTTCGCAGATCTCCAGCCGTTCCACAGATGTCCTCTCATAGCAACCCCCCCACCTCCACCCCGTAGCTTTCCTCTCAGCAGCAAAGTGAATAGCGCACAAGCGATGGCTCGGGGCTACGGTACTGAGTCAGAGGTCGCAAACGGGTTTTGATTCCTTACCCGTACCTGGCCGCACCAGCGTCGTAAACAGGTACCCGTACCCGGTATCGGGTACCTGATTGCGACCTCTGGGGTGAAGCCATGTTGCAGGCGCGGGTGGGTTGATTCTAGGAACTTGAATTGTGAGAAGAGACAAGACGTTGGGAAATGAGTGACAGTTACTCACCAGTGACCGTAGGGTACGGGTATCGGGTACCCGGTTGCGACCTCTGGACTGAGTGTTCGGAGATTTGTGAGCGGATGCCACCTTCGTCATCAGCCGCGGTTCAGTCTACCGCTGGATGGGTACGTACTGTAAGTACTGTACGTACGTCGCACGGGGCAGGGCTACGAGACGGCACGCGGTGCGCATGGAGACCGGCGGGAGACGTGCAGACTGGGGTGTCTGTAGGTGGATCGCCCTGCGGTGCCCCCCTCTAGGGTAACAACAGTGCAGCTCTGCACGGGGGACTCTGCACACTCACACACACGGGGACCCCCAGGTGATGGGGAGGGAAGTGCAGTGGTTGGGACCTAGAACTCCGCACTTGCAATCGAGGGGTGGCCGGGTCGGTTTAATCTCCCACCCCCCACAGAGTGTGAGTCAGGTGTAGGAGGATCCGTAGGTTTCCGTGTTCACATTCAAAATCAGTTTCAAGGGTGGCACAGCCTCGGCTAATCACGTGGCCTGTTGTTTAAAACTAATTCACAGCTCGGCGCAGTGCACGTTTTGCTCAGGATGGCTGACTTTTCTGTTTCCACGGGAAGGAGAAAATGCATCCTGGCCGGTGTGTGTTCTCTGGTGCACGCGAAGATTTGATAGGTCTGCAAACGCCTTCTCACACACGGTGCACTTGAACGGCTTCTCTCCCGTGTGTGTTCTCTGGTGGCTGTGAAGATGTGATGAGTCTGCAAACGCCTTCTCACACACGGTGCACTTGAACGGCTTCTCTCCCGTGTGTGTTCTCTGGTGGCTGTGAAGATGTTGTAAATGTGCAAATGCCTTCTCACACACGGTGCACTTGAACGGCTTCTCTCCCGTGTGTGTTCTCTGGTGGCTGTGAAGATTTGGTAGTTGTGAAAACGCCTTCTCACACACGGTGCACTTGAACGGCTTCTCTCCCGTGTGTGTTCTCTGGTGGCTGTGAAGAGTTGGTAGTTGTGAAAACGCCTTCTCACACACGGTGCACTTGAACCGCTTCTCTCCCGTGTGTGTTCTCTGGTGCATCTTCAAGCTACACTTGTAGTCTGTGCTGAATGGACATTGGTCACACTGATGACTTTTGTTACTGGGCTTAGTGGGGTGTCTGCTCTGCACGTGATACTGTAGACTCGAGCGGCAGATGAACTGACGGTTGCAGGCAGGACACGGCAGCCTTGTCACCTCCACACCCACTCCACCTGCGTCATCCCAGAGGCACAAGACACACGCGCACACACCAACACCGATACATGAACACTCTTGCACATGTGTGTGTGTACATACAAAGGTAAAGGTCCCCAACAGCCATATCAGACTGTTGGGCAAGTGCTGTTTGCGAGTACCTATGAAGGCCGGCATGGCACACGAGGGAGTAGGTGGCCAACACCAGGCCCGGCCGCCTTTGTCTCTCCAGTGGCGATGTTTCCACGTTTAAGCTAGGTACTCATTTGAGGCCGAGTCAGCCTAGGGGAGGCCTAAATATTCACCACTGACGTTGGCCGTGAGTGGGAATCGAACTCAGGTGGCCGGGTTCGTAGTGCAGTGGGCTCCATTATATATACACACAAAGACGAAGAACCCCCATATAGCCTGTATATACTTTTGGGACAAGTGCTGTTATCGGGCACCTACAGTGAGGGAAAAAAGTGTTTGATCCCCTGCTGATTTTAAAAAAATGCAAATCAATTTATAACATTTTTGACATGCGTTTTTCTGGATTTTTTGTTGTTGTTATTCTTTCTCTCACGGTTCAAATAAACCTACCATTAAAATTATAGACTGGTCATTTCTTTGCCAGTGGGCAAACGTACAAAATCAGCAGGGGATCAAATCCTTTTTTCCCTCACTGTATGAAAGCCAGCATGGCACATGAGTGGGAGGGTGGCCAGCACCACACATGGCCGCCTTTGTCTCCCCAGTGGCGATGTTTACTACTACACACCACACCAGTTACTCATTTGCACCTTATCAGTGTGGGTGGTGCCTATCATCTCTGGTGAGTGGTGGCTATCATTTCTGGTGAGTGGTGGCTATCATCTGTTGTGAGTGGTGGCTATCATCTCTGGTGAGTGGTGGCTATCATCTCTGGTGAGTGGTGGCTATCATCTCTGGTGAGTGGTGGCTATCATCTCTGGTGAGTGGTGGCTATCATCTCTGGTGAGTGGATGCTATCATCTATGGGGAGTGGTGGCTATTATCTTTGGTGAGCAGTGGCTATCATCTCTGTTGAGTGGTGGCTATCATCTCTGGTGAGTGGTGGCTATCATCTCTGGTGAGTGGTGGCTATCATCTCTGGTGAGTGGATGCTATCATCTATGGGGAGCGGTGGCTATTATCTTTGGTGAGCAGTGGCTATCATCTCTGTTGAGTGGTGGCTATCATCTCTGGTGAGTGGTGGCTATCATCTCTGGTGAGTGGATGCTAGCATCTATGGGGAGTGGTGGCTATTATCTTTGGTGAGCAGTGGCTATCATCTCTGTTGAGTGGTGGCTATCATCTCTAGTGAGTGGTGGCTATCGTCTCTGGTGAGTGGTGGCTATCATCTCTGGTGAGTGGTGGCTATCATCTCTGGTGAGTGGTGGCTATCATCTCTGGTGAGTGGTGGCTATCATCTCTGGTGATGGATGCTATCATCTATGGGGAGTGGTGGCTATTATCTTTGGTGAGCAGTGGCTATCATCTCTGTGAGTGGTGGCTATCATCTCTGGTGAGTGGTGTCTATCATCTCTGGTGAGTGGATGCTATCATCTATGGGGAGTGGTGGCTATTATCTTTGGTGAGCAGTGGCTATCATCTCTGTTGAGTGGTGGCTATCGTCTCTGGTGAGCGGTGGTTATCATCTCTGGTGAGTGGTGGCTATCATCTCTAGTGAGTGGTGCCTATCATCTCTGGTGAGTGGTGGCTATCATCTCTAGTGAGTGGTGGCTATCGTCTCTGGTGAGCGGTGGTTATCATCTCTGGTGAGTGGTGGCTATCATCTCTAGTGAGTGGTGCCTATCATCTCTGGTGAGTGGTGGCTATCATCTCTGGTGAGTGGTGGCTATAGTCTGGTGAGCAGTGGCTATCATCTCTGGTGAGTGGTGGCTATCATCTCTGGTGAGTGGTGGCTATCATCTCTGGTGAGTGGTGGCTATCATCTCTGGTGAGTGGTGGCTATCATCTATGGGGAGTGGTGGCTATTATCTTTGGTGAGCAGTGGCTATCATCTCTGTTGAGTGGTGGCTATCATCTCTAGTGAGTGGTGGCTATCGTCTCTGGTGAGTGGTGGCTATCATCTCTGGTGAGTGGTGGCTATCATCTCTGGTGAGTGGTGGCTATCATCTCTGGTGAGTGGATGCTATCATCTATGGGGAGTGGTGGCTATTATCTTTGGTGAGCAGTGGCTATCATCTCTGTTGAGTGGTGGCTATCATCTCTGGTGAGTGGTGTCTATCATCTCTGGTGAGTGGATGCTATCATCTATGGGGAGTGGTGGCTATTATCTTTGGTGAGCAGTGGCTATCATCTCTGTTGAGTGGTGGCTATCGTCTCTGGTGAGCGGTGGTTATCATCTCTGGTGAGTGGTGGCTATCATCTCTAGTGAGTGGTGCCTATCATCTCTGGTGAGTGGTGGCTATCATCTCTAGTGAGTGGTGGCTATCGTCTCTGGTGAGCGGTGGTTATCATCTCTGGTGAGTGGTGGCTATCATCTCTAGTGAGTGGTGCCTATCATCTCTGGTGAGTGGTGGCTATCATCTCTGGTGAGTGGTGGCTATAGTCTGGTGAGCAGTGGCTATCATCTCTGGTGAGTGGTGGCTATCATCTCTGGTGAGTGGTGGCTATCATCTCTGGTGAGTGGTGGCTATCATCTCTGGTGAGTGGTGGCTATCATCTCTGGTGAGTGGTGGCTATCATCTCTGGTGAGTGGAGGCTATCATCGCTGGTGAGTGGTGGCTATCATCTCTGGTGAGTGGATGCTATCATCTATGGGGAGTGGTGGCTATTATCTTTGGTGAGCAGTGGCTATCATCTCTGTTGAGTGGTGGCTATCATCTCTGGTGAGTGGTGGCTATCATCTCTGGTGAGTGGTGGCTATCATCTCTGGTGAGTGGTGGCTATCATCTCTGGTGAGTGGTGGCTATCATCTATGGTGAGTGGTGGCTATTATCTTTGGTGAGCAGTGGCTATCATCTCTGTTGAGTGGTGGCTATCATCTCTGGTGAGTGGTGGCTATCGTCTCTGGTGAGTGGTGGCTATCATCTCTGGTGAGTGGATGCTATCATCTATGGGGAGTGGTGGCTATTATCTTTGGTGAGCAGTGGCTATCATCTCTGTTGAGTGGTGGCTATCGTCTCTGGTGAGCGGTGGTTATCATCTCTGGTGAGTGGTGGCTATCATCTCTAGTGAGTGGTGCCTATCATCTCTGGTGAGTGGTGGCTATCATCTCTGGTGAGTGGTGGCTATCATCTCTGGTGAGTGGTGGCTATCATCTCTGGTGAGTGGTGGCTATCATCTCTGGTGAGTGGTGGCTATCATCTCTGGTGAGTGGTGGCTATAGTCTGGTGAGCAGTGGCTATCATCTCTGGTGAGTGGTGGCTATCATCTCTGGTGAGTGGTGGCTATCATCTCTGGTGAGTGGTGGCTATCATCTCTGGTGAGTGGTGGCTATCATCCCTGGTGAGTGGTGGCTATCATCTCTGGTGAGTGGTGGCTATCATCTCTGGTGAGTGGTGGCTATCATCTCTGGTGAGTGGTGGCTGTCATTTCTGGTGAGTGGTGGCTATCATCTCTGGCTATCATCACTGGTGAGTGGTGGCTATCATCTCTGGTGAGTGGTGGCTATCATCTCTGGTGAGTGGTGGCTATCATCCCTGGTGAGTGGTGGCTATCATCTCTGGTGAGTGGTGGCTATCATCTCTGGTGAGCGGTGGCTATCATCTCTGGTGAGTGGTGGCTATCATCACTGGTGAGTGGTGGCTATCATCTCTGGTGAGTGGTGGCTATCATCTCTGGTGAGTGGTGGCTATCATCTCTGGTGAGTGGTGGCTATCATCTCTGGTGAGTGGTGGCTATCATATCTGGTGAGTGGTGGCTGTCATCTCTGGTGAGTGGTGGCAATCATCTCTGGTGAGTGGTGGCTATCATCTCTGGTGAGTGGTGGCTATAATCTCTGGTGAGTGGTGGCTATCGTCTCTGGTGAGTGGTGGCTATCATCTCTGGTGAGTGGTGGCTATAATCTCTGGTGAGTGGTGGCTATCATCTCTGGTGAGTGGTGGCTATCATCTCTGGTGAGTGGTGGCTATAATCTCTGGTGAGTGGTGGCTATCATCTCTGGTGAGTGGTGGCTATCATCTCTGGTGAGTGGTGGCTATCATCCCTGGTGAGTGGTGGCTATCATCTCTGGTGAGTGGTGGCTATCATCTCTGGTGAGTGGTGGCTATCATCTCTGGTGAGTGGTGGCTGTCATTTCTGGTGAGTGGTGGCTATCATCTCTGGCTATCATCACTGGTGAGTGGTGGCTATCATCTCTGGTGAGTGGTGGCTATCATCTCTGGTGAGTGGTGGCTATCATCCCTGGTGAGTGGTGGCTATCATCTCTGGTGAGTGGTGGCTATCATCTCTGGTGAGCGGTGGCTATCATCTCTGGTGAGTGGTGGCTATCATCACTGGTGAGTGGTGGCTATCATCTCTGGTGAGTGGTGGCTATCATCTCTGGTGAGTGGTGGCTATCATCTCTGGTGAGTGGTGGCTATCATCTCTGGTGAGTGGTGGCTATCATATCTGGTGAGTGGTGGCTGTCATCTCTGGTGAGTGGTGGCAATCATCTCTGGTGAGTGGTGGCTATCATCTCTGGTGAGTGGTGGCTATAATCTCTGGTGAGTGGTGGCTATCGTCTCTGGTGAGTGGTGGCTATCATCTCTGGTGAGTGGTGGCTATAATCTCTGGTGAGTGGTGGCTATCATCTCTGGTGAGTGGTGGCTATCATCTCTGGTGAGTGGTGGCTATAATCTCTGGTGAGTGGTGGCTATCATCTCTGGTGAGTGGTGGCTATCATCTCTGGTGAGTGGTGGCTATCATCTCTGGTGAGTGGTGGCAATCATCTCTGGTGAGTGGTGGCTATAATCTCTGGTGTGTGGTGGCTATCATCTCCGGTGAGTGGTGGCTATAATCTGTGGTGAGTGGTGGCTATCGTCTCTGGTGAGTGGTGGCTATCATCTCTGGTGAGTGGTGGCTATAATCTCTGGTGAGTGGTGGCAATCATATCTGGTGAGTGGTGGCTATCATCTCTGGTGAGTGGTGGCTATAGTCTGGTGAGCAGTGGCGAGTCTCTGGTGAGCGGTGCTCACAGTGTTCCTCGCTTGGTGGAGGCTGCACGGGCTGCAGGTCTCTGGCGGTGGCCCTGGGAGCCATCTCGTTGCTGCTGCTCCTGCTGCGGCGTCGCGAGGGCCCGGCCTCGCAGGCGATGCCCAGCTCCTGGGCGAACTCCTCGCCGTACCAGACCAGCAGCTCAGAGCCGGGCCCCACGGCACGGAACGTGCGGTAGTAAATCTGCCCCCGGTGCTGGAAGGCCACCAGGTTCTGCTCCTGCTCATTCCTCGCGCAGTTGACGAACCTGCGCGGGCAGACGCGGGGGCGGGGTGGGCGCCGTTAGCGAGCGCCTATTAAGGGCCGGCACTGGGCGCTACGTGGGGGTGGTGTGGCTGGAACCACGCTCCGTACCGGGTGCTCATTTGATGCCGAGTCGACCAAGGGGAGGCCCAGGGTCTCTGTGTGTGGTGGTTCTGGTTTCTGTGTGTAGTGGTTCTGGTCTCTGTGTGTAGTGGTTTTGGTCTCTGTGTGTGGTGGTTCTGGTCTCTGTGTGTAGTGGTTCTGGTCTCTGTGTGTGGTGGTTCTGGTCTCTGTGTGTGGTGGTTCTGGTCTCTGTGTGTGGTGGTTCTGGTCTCTGTGTGTGGTGGTTCTGGTCTCTGTGTGTGGTGGTTCTGGTCTCTGTGTGTGGTGGTTCTGGTCTCTGAGTGTAGTGGTTCTGGTCTCTGTGTGTGGTGGTTCTGGTCTCTGTGTGTGGTGGTTCTGGTCTCTGTGTGTGGTGGTTCTGGTCTCTGTGTGTGGTGGTTCTGGTCTCTGTGTGTGGTGGTTCTGGTCTCTGAGTGTAGTGGTTCTGGTCTCTGTGTGCAGTGGTTCTGGTTTCTGTGTGTAGTGGTTCTGGTCTCTGTGTGTGGTGGTTCTGGTCTCTGTGTGTGGTGGTTCTGGTCTCTGTGTGTAGTGGTTCTGGTCTCTGTGTGTGGTGGTTCTGGTCTCTGTGTGTAGTGGTTCTGGTTTCTGTGTGTAGTGGTTCTGGTCTCTGTGTGTGGTGGTTCTGGTCTCTGTGTGTGGTGGTTCTGGTATCTGTGTGCAATGGTTCTGGTTTCTGTGTGTAGTGGTTCTGGTCTCTGTGTGTGGTGGTTCTGGTCTCTGTGTGTGGTGGTTCTGGTCTCTGTGTGTGGTGGTTCTGGTCTCTGTGTGTAGTGGTTCTGGTTTCTGTGTGTAGTGGTTCTGGTCTCTGTGTGTGGTGGTTCTGGTCTCTGTGTGTGGTGGTTCTGGTCTCTGTGTGTGGTGGTTCTGGTATCTGTGTGCAATGGTTCTGGTTTCTGTGTGTAGTGGTTCTGGTCTCTGTGTGTGGTGGTTCTGGTCTCTGTGTGTGGTGGTTCTGGTCTCTGTGTGTAGTGGTTCTGGTCTCTGTGTGTGGTGGTTATGGTCTCTGTGTGTAGTGGTTCTGGTTTCTGTGTGTAGTGGTTCTGGTCTCTGTGTGTGGTGGTTCTGGTCTCTGTGTGTGGTGGTTCTGGTCGCTGTGTGTGGTGGTTCTGGTCTCTGTGTGCAGTGGTTTCTGGTTTCTGTGTGTAGTGGTTCTGGTCTCTGTGTGTGGTGGTTCTGGTCTCTGTGTGTGGTGGTTCTGGTCTCTGTGTGTAGTGGTTCTGGTCTCTGTGTGTGGTGGTTCTGGTCTCTGTGTGTAGTGGTTCTGGTTTCTGTGTGTAGTGGTTCTGGTCTCTGTGTGTGGTGGTTCTGGTATCTGTGTGCAATGGTTCTGGTTTCTGTGTGTAGTGGTTCTGGTCTCTGTGTGTGGTGGTTCTGGTCTCTGTGTGTGGTGGTTCTGGTCTCTGTGTGTAGTGGTTCTGGTCTCTGTGTGTAGTGGTTCTGGTTTCTGTGTGTAGTGGTTCTGGTCTCTGTGTGTGGTGGTTCTGGTCTCTGTGTGTGGTGGTTCTGGTCTCTGTGTGTGGTGGTTCTGGTCTCTGTGTGTGGTGGTTCTGGTCTCTGTGTGCAGTGGTTTCTGGTTTCTGTGTGTAGTGGTTCTGGTCTCTGTGTGTGCTGGTTCTGGTCTCTGTGTTGTGGTCCTTAAGACAAAAATCACCTCATCCAGTTTGACTTAGATTCATCCTGAGCATCAACATATTCACGATCCTTTTTGTTTTTGTAAATCTGAAACACACAGACGCACACGAGCAGATCCACGGATAATTAACGTGAGTTGGACTGTAAGTTGAACTTCTTTCGTACCGCACGTAGCCAACCGTGCTGATCGGAGGTGCGGGAGAAGGACAACAAACTAAACACCAAAATCAGTTCTAAAGAAATGCGTTTTCAACCTACAAGATTTAAAAGTGCATAGCTCTCAGTGGCTTCTTAACATTGGAAGGAAGAACCTTCCAGACGGCCGCAGAAGTGCATCTGTAAGCGCCACGCCATGCGGTGACCACCGTCTTTGCTGTGTGTTACAAGTTGAAATTAGAATTACGTTAATTTTTGGGTCTCTCTGTGATTCTGGGGGTCTCTCTGAAATTCTTTGGGTGAGTCTCTAGGTCTCTGTACGAGTCTATGGGTTTCTATGCGAGTCTCTGGGTCTCTGTGCAAGTCTCTATGGTCTCTGTGTGAGTCTGTGGGTCTCTCGGTGCGATTCTCTGGGTCTCTGTGCGAGTCTGTGGGTGACTGTGTGGGGCTCTGGGTCTCTGTGCGAATCTCTGGGTCTCTGTGTGAGACTGTGGGTCTCTCTGTGCGATTCTCTGAGCCTCTATGTGAGTATCTGGGTCTCTCTGTGCCAGTCTCTGGGTCTCTGTGTGAGTCTGTGGGTGACTGTGTGAAGCTATGGGTCTCTGTGCGAGTCTATGGGTCTCTGTGTGAATCTATGGGTCTCTGTGCGAGTCTATGGGTCTCTGTGCGAGTCTATGGGTTTCTGTGCGAGTCTATGGGTCTATGTGCGAGTCTATGTGTCTCTGTGTGAGTCTATGGGTATCTGTGAGCATGAACAGAGTTTGCGTGATGATGGTTTATGCTTCTTGACGAGATCAGCGACGAGGTATCATGGTTTATTTGTGTGTAAGGAGTGCGTGAGGCAGAACCACTTGTCTGTGGTTCCTCCTCGCGCATTGAAGTTGTTCTGTCCTTGCGAGCGAGCGGCTACTGTGGGTTACAAGTTTAACTCGTAATTACGTTAATTTTTTGGGTCTCTCTGTGAGTCTGTGGGTCCCTCTGTGAGTCACTGAGTCTCTGTGCAAGTCTCTAAGGCTCTGTGCGAGTCTCTGGGTCTCTGTGTGAGACTGTGGGTCTCTGTGCGATTCTCTGGGTCTCTGTGCGAGTCTCTGTGCAAGTCTCTGGGTCTCTCTGTGAGTCTGTGGGTCTCTGTGCGATTCTCTGAGCCTATGTGTGAGTATCTGGGTCTCTCTGTGCGAGTCTCTGGGTCTCTGTGTGAGTCTGTGTGTCCCACTGTGAGTCTCTGGGTCTCTGTTCAAGTCTCTAGGTCTCTGTGCAAGTCTGTGGGTCTCTCTATGCGAGCCTCTGGGTCTCTGTGCAAAGTCTCTGGGTCTCTCTGTGCCAGTTTCTGGGTGACTGTGTGAGTCTGTGGGGGACTGTGTGAGGCTATGGGTTTCTCTGTATCTCCTTCACGAGCCTCCTCTCCACACACACGATGATGATGTAGGAATAGGAGGAGGCTGCAGCAGTGGCAGTGGCAGCAGCAGCAGCTCACCAGCCAGCAGTACTCGCTCATGGGGTTCTCCTCAGACACCTCTCCCTGGTAGGGCCCAAACATCACCCCCTTGGGCAGCTTCTTCCTGTTGCTCCACACCCCGAGGCCGGCGCCGGCGATGGAGGAGGCGCCGACGGTGAGGCCCTGGGGCAGGCTGAGCCGGGCCCTGTTGGCCACTCCCGGGGCCACGGCCGCGTCCGCGATGAACTCTGGCGGGCCGTGCACGGAGCACTCCCCCAGGTAGAAATCCCTGCACAGCTCGCAGACTGAGAGCCACAGCAGCAGCAGCGGGAGGAGGGTGAACCGCAGTAGCAACAGCAGCAGCAGCAGTGGCACTGTGAGAGGGTGAGAGGGTGAGGAGCGCTCCAGACAGATGCCTCCCTCCCTCCCTCTCTGCATGGGGAACTTCTTTAGCTCGCTCATCGGAGATGTAAACCCTGTCACCTTCCCTGCATCCCTCCCTGCATCCCTGAGTGAGGGAGCAAAAGAGAGAGAGGTAAGTGAGAGTGTGAGAAAGGGAGCGTGTGAGAGGGAGGGAAAGGGGGCAAGAGTGAGAGGGAGCAAGTGGAATATATCGAGTGAGAGTGCGGGAGCAATAGAGAGAGAGATGGGTGAGAGTGTGACAAACTGATGGGTGAGAGTGTGACATTCTAGATTTGAAGCTTTCGTGACTGCAAGGATTCATACTCTTAGTTCTTTCGGTAAAGTCACGTAGGTAAAAAATGAAATTAAAATTAATAAAATAAATAATAAAATAATGCACCAAATCTGGCTGTGACAGTCCCACCTGATGACGGAGACTTGTGTTGCCTCTGAATCGTCGTGATTTTTATTTTATTTTATTTTTTATAAATTTTTATTTCATTTTTTACTTACGTGACTTTACCGAAAGAACTAAGAGTATGAGAGTGTGACAAACTGACATTGTGAGAAAGTGAGAGAGAGGTAGGGGGAGCACGGGGTCTCACAGAAGAAGTCGTCGTCCTGGGGCTCCTCCACCTCTGTGTAGACTTGCCTCTCGCGCGGGCGCAGGCCGTAGCGAGAGCGAGCGCTGCGCGACACCGCCACAGCCTGGGCGGAGGCCGGCGGCACGGAGGAGCCTGCAGGCAAACACGGCGAGATGTTGACTACCTCTCCTGGTATACGGGAGGTCGCAGATTCCATCCCGACCCTGACGAAGCCTGCTGTATATTTGGAGTCTGCGTGTCTCTCTCTCCTCTGTGGCGAGATGTTAACTCCCTCGCCTGGAATACAGGAGGTCGTGGGTGCGATCCCGACCCTGACGACCCACGCTGTATATTTGGAGTTTGCATGTTGTACCTCCCCGTGGTTGCGTGGATTTTTCTCCGGGTCCTCCGGTTTTTCCCCTCGACATTTAGAATCAACGTCACGTGTTGAGAGTATTTGGCTGCTGTAAATGTCCACGTAATGATGATGATGACAAGTCACTTCGTTGAGCTCTCATTTGTGATAGCCAGGTCGCTTCTGAAAAACATCTACACAGCTCAGTGCGGCTTACCCTGGTAAAAGAAACATCGCTTAGTTTATAGGCTGCATCAGTACCAGCAGCAGCACTGACAGGAGCACATGTAGCAGTAGCATCAACAGCAGTGGCGACTTCCATCAGCAGCCACAGAAGAGTGCGGAGTTCCGGTGAGGATAGAGGGGAGTGTGGAGTTCTGGTGAGAATAGAGGGGAGTGTGGAGTTCTGGTGGGAATAGCAGGGAGTGTGACGTTCCAGTGAGAATAGAGGGGAGTGTGGAGTTCTGGTGAGAATAGAGGGGAGTGTGGAGTTCCGGTGAGAATAGATGGGAGTGTGGAGTTCCGGTGGGAATAGAGGGGAGTGTGGAGTTCTGGTGTGAATAGAAATCACCGCTGCAGGCTACGCACCTCCACGTATCCTCTGGAGCGCCACCCTCAGGGCCTCCTTGCAGGCGGTGGCTCTGCGCTCCAGCCTGAACATCGCCATCCTGGCCTTGTGCACCTCCCTCAGCTCAAATCCCCTGAACTCCTCCTCCTGCTGCTGCTCCTCCTCCTCCACGCCCTGCAAGATGCTCCACACGTACTCCAGGGCTTTCGCTTTAGTCTGAGCGGAGGGGGCGGTGGGGTGAGGGGGCGGAGGGGGTGTGGGGGGCGGAGTTGGTGCGGTGACCAGCGGTGGCTAGGAGATGTTAACTCCCTCGCCTAGTACGCAGGAGGTCGCGGGTTCGATCTCGACCCTGACACCTCATCGGATTCCTCCAGTACAATACATATTCTAATTCTGATATTCTGATTCTGTAAATCTGATTCCATACATCAAGCAGAACCATGCCGTCATGCTGAACCTCGGTGGGTATGGCAGGCCAAGCCTCTTCACAACTAAACTAATGAATAAACTAATTATAATAATAAGCCCAGACGTTGTACCAGAGTGCAATGCAGAGGGGGCATGGTAGCTAGGAGATGTTAACTACCTCGCCTGGTACGCAGGAGGTCATGTGTTCGATCCTGACCCTGATGTGGTGGTCGCTGCGTGGATTTTTCTCTGGGTCCTCCGGTTTTTCCCGTCACATTGAGAATCCGGATCGCTCGTTTTAGAGTATTTGACTCCCGCTAGAAATATCCACGTGATGATGATATCAGCCGCTTCGTTGAGCTATGAGTTGTGATAGCCGGGTACCGCTTGTAAAAGAAAGAGCGACTCCGTAGCTCAGTGAACCGTGACTCTGAGCTCCGTAACCTCCGAGTCTGCGATGGGACATCGACGTCTGCCCGTCTCGTGGAGTCTGCGCGCGTTGCAAACCCAGTGGTCATTGTCACCGTGGTCACGGTGTCTACGCTTGTCTACGCCCTTCTCAGGTTCTGTTCTATCACCTCGGATCCTAGAGAGGAGTGGCGAACGTCTCGTGTGTACGTGTTGTGTGTGTGTACGTTAGGTGTTTAGTGTATAGTAGTGTAGTGTATATTAGTGTATAGTGTAGTGTATAGTAGTGTATCATGGTGTAGTGTGTCGTGTAGTATTTAGTCATGAATAGTGTAGTGTATAGTAGTGTATCATGGCGTACGTCTCGTCTGTACGTGAGGCAGCGATAAGCGCGTGCCTGTTCCTATTTCTCTGTAATGATTGGAATTATACAGAAATTACATTTATAACACGGATCAGTGGAACATTTCTTTTTACTTTTCGTAACAGCTATTTTCATTGGAGTATATGACAGGCGAGACTCTGCCTCCCCTGACCGCACGTCCCTGGTATAGCAGTGTTTAGTAGTATGTATGTACGTTGAATTTATTTGGCACCGTACGTAGCTATCCTCGTTCATGGGAGGTGAGGGGGAAGGACAACAAACTAAAGACAACAACAGCAGCAGCTGTAACGAGAGGAGTGCCGTGCGCTGTGCACAGAGACCTTGCGCTTGCTGGGAGCTGCCCTCGCGTGCCACTCTCCCACGGTGGCCCAGCGTGAAGCAGCCCCCTTGCCTCCTCCTGCTTGAACACACGCACACACGTGAACACACACACACACGTGAACACACTCACGCACGTGAACACACTCGCGCACGTGAACACACGCACAAACACGTGAACACACGTGAACACACACACGTGAACACGCGCACGCACGTGAAAATACGCAACAACAACAACAACCGCCATTCGCCACTAATTGGCGGTGACGTCACCACGACGTTTGTGCCAGGCCATGTGCACCTTGAGGCCACGTGAAGTGTAGAACGCCCGCTGGCAGGAGGTCACGGGGCAGACCCAGGTGCCACGGGTCGATTGACTAAGATGACCGAGATGACTGGCTGATGCACCACCTGTGCCCCCTACTGTGCCAACTTGCTGTGCTTTTGCCACCCGGCGCTCCGCTCGTTGTTGTGAGCGTCGCTCCTCCGCCCTCCGTTGTTGTTGGAGGGCGTCCTTCACGAGCCTCCTCCACAGAGCCCGATCTTGACACCGCTGGTACCAGTCATTGGCAAGTCCACTCAGCTCCATGTCCTCCTGTACCACATCACTCCATCTCTTCTCTAGCCCGTGTCACGCCCGTTTAGCCCCCTCGATCCGGCCGAACAAAAGCTGTTTAGGCATGCAGTGGCTGGGCATGCGGGCTACATGACCCAGCCAATGCAGCCTTGCCTGCCGGAGGAGCTCACCGATGGGACTTTGCCCAGATCTTTCAAGGATTTGTGAGCTCCTCACACAATCCAGCCTGGTAAAACCCAGGATGGATCATAGGCAGGCCAGCCTAAATGTTTCTAACCAGCGAAGATGCTCCATTAGGGGGGTCCACGTTTCGCAAGCGTAGAGAAGGAAGGGAATGACTGTGGCCGAGAAAACCTGAAGCTTCGTGCGGAGTGACAGACCAGGTAGCTTCCACACAGCGTTACGCAACCGATGAAAATATATTGCCCCTTGACTGATTCGGAGTGAGACCTCTGCTGTTAAACTGGAGCCGGTCATAAGCACACTGCCCAGGTATGGGAAACTCTCCACTCTCTCCACAACTGCCCCATCACTGATTGGGAGTTGTGTGGGTGGAGTGTCCAATGGTACAAAATACCCAGGCAGGTGCTTAGTTTTTGGTGGGGCTGATGGTAAGGCCCCACCTCCTAGTGGCATTCTCCAGTCTCAGCAGCAGCGTCTCCAACTCCTCCTCTGAATGAGCAGCTATTACTACATCATCGGCATACATAACGTCGTTGACCAATAGGGACCCATCCCTTGATCGCACCCAGGCATCGATCAGCCTCCCATTATATCTACCAAATGGAAATCCCCTCGGTACAGCTATTGAAGGCTTCACGAACTACGTGGTCAAAATTGATGTTAAATAATGTGGGAGCCAGAGGACATCCCTGTCACACCCCAAGGTGTACAGGGAATGGCTCCGACTCCCGGCTACGTAGTTTTACCCGGGCCCGCTCACCATCATTAAGGTCCTTAATGATCATGAGCAGAGGGTCAGGGACTCCGAAAGCACGAAGAACAACCCAGAGCCCAGGCCTACTGATGGTGTCATAGGCCTTGACCAGGTCAATAAAGCAGAGATGTAGGTCTTGTTGGAATTCCCTACACCTCTGCTGTAGCAGACGGACAGAAAATATGGCATCTGTGCAGGACCGCCCTTTCCTGAAACCGCATTGGGGATCCGCAAGCCTCTCCTCAGCGTGCCTAGCAAGGCGATGTTGAATAATCCTTGCCAGCACCTTTCCCGGCACACTGAGGAGTGAGATGCCCTTGTAGTTGTTACAGTCTGTGCGGTCCCCCTTCTTAAAGAGGGGGACCACCAGGGCATCCTTCCAATTCTGCGGTACCCGTCCAGTGGTCCAGACTGTTGTTATGATGTCATATAGGGCAGTATGTGCACAAACGCCACCCTCCCTCATCATTTCGCTTGGGAGATCATCTCTGCCCGGTGCCTTTCCTGGTCTCAGACTCCGGATCGCCTTCAGTACTTCCTCAACAGATGGCATCTCAGCCAGCCACTCACAGAGGGTGACTTCTTCCAATATTTGAGGCACCACAGCCTCAGCAGGGTCATCCCCACTTTGTGCCATGATGTTTTCCTGGCTGAGGGATTTCCCCTCCCCCAGGACCTCACAGAAATGCTCAGCAAATCTGCAAACCTGTTCCTGGGGGTCGAAGATTGGATCACCGTTTTTTCCCCTAATGATGGTAATCGGTGTGGCGCTGGAGGTTACTTTTTTGATGGAGTTAAATAGTGATTTGTGATCGTGGGCCACTGAGGCAGACTCCATCTCCTCAGCAACCCGTGACCACCACCCATCCTTGCAGCGCCTTACGGCTCTTCAACCCTCCGAGCGAAGGTTGCGGTAAGCCTCCTCATTGTCTGAAGTGGGATGCTGGAGCCGATGAGAGTGGGCCTGTCACTTTTTCTCAACTATCCTGAACACCTCCTCTGTCAGCCAGGGTCTCTGGGGAGTTCTGGAACGCGTACCCAAAGCAGCCATTGCAGCTGCATAAGTCACAGTCCTAAACCTCGCCCATTTACCCTCGACATCAGGAAGACTGGGGGATGATGCCAACCCCAGCCGCAAGCGATGATGAAATTCTCACTTGCAACTTTCATCAGCTAACTAAAACCAGGCCACTTTAGGTTGGAATGGGGTCCTGGGTGTACACCCACCACCAGAGTGGAAGAATGGCAGGCGCATCTTACAGATGACTAGTCGATGGTCAGAGGGCAGATCAGCTCCACGGTACAGTAGGTCCTGGTGTCAAAGACATGGGTTCGCATCCGCTGGACCCGGCATGCATCCATGATCTTGTGTGGATGCGCCGATGTCGGAAGAGCGTGTTGGTAATTACAAGCCCATGGGCTGCACAAAAATCTAGCAGCCTCCTACCGTTGTTATTGAGCTGATCTGGCCCATGCCCTCCAATCACTCCAGACCAGGTGCCAGTATCATGACCAACTCGGGCATTGAAGTCACCCAACAAGATGACTCTATCCCGAGTGGCCACTTTAGCCAGTACCTGTGACAGGAGGTCATAGAAGGCATCTGAATCATCGGCTTTGCCTGCATCCCTCCACGGATGTTCGTCTTCGGTGGGGGCATAAGTAACTACGACCACCACTCCT